CCATTGCCCCATTGGTTGATAATAAGGCGACCAAGGAGTGCTATATGAAGCTGGACATGATGTAGAGAAGAAATCAATATTATTCTAAAGCATTTTGGATGGAGAATACAGTAGGGTTTTGGTCTTTTCTAGGAGTACTCAGACTGGTAAGTGGTTAATGAAGGGTTAGGTGGGTAGGAAGGGAAGTCCATTGACTTTTTCCTGTCGGATAATGGAAGAATGAGGATTGAAAAGAGATAGAATGAACAATGTTCTAGTTAGTATTTGTCCTTATCTGCTTTCCATTAATGACTTTCGCTTTGTCTATCTCTTGGCGCAGGCAAGTTCATATTAGAATGGTATCGGAAAACATGTGAAATGTAGTCCTAAGTCCATCATCATGCCGGAATAAAATGTTCTGTGGTACTATCCCTACTAACCATGTCCAGGACATATTAATACCTCACCAAGTTACTGGGCATGAGTCAATCGATCGATCTACTCCATATGCCTGCTGTAAGCATCTCTAACCACTACTCCTCCCTCATATCGTCAAAACCCTAAACAATGATCACTAATCAAGGGGCAATGGCGCATCTGGGAGCGCGTCAGACTGAAGATCTGGAGGTGGCCGGTTCAAGCCCGGCTTGCCCCATCCTTTTTTGTTGTGAATTTTTCTTTTCTTTATCTCTACGATTTTTGACTGTGGATAATTTGCATCTTGTGGGTGGAGGAGATGTTGTGGGGTTGTTGTAGATTGCGCTAGCTGTACATGGTTAGTCAATGTTCATGAGAGTTTCTGGTCGATTATGTAATTCGTTAGTTGGTGGGTTGGCTGTATGCTGGTGAGGGAAGATTCCTTTCCTGTGAAGGTTACAGCATTATCCATTCAAAGACAATGTTCAAACTCAATTTGTGGGGAATAGTTTGCCTTGGAGTATGTCAGGGAAGGACAAGTGTCGAAGCAGTCGCGTGGGTGGGGTGATATTGTAGAGCGGATTTCGCCGGTTTGGGAACTTCTTGAGGCTGAGGTGGATGTAGAAAGTAAGACCCAGTTGAGTACTTGCTTTGGAGGCATGGTAGACAAGACAGATATACCATGAAGTGAAGTGATGGGCAGTACGTGGTTTTGTTTAACATGTTGCAGAGCCTGATTGTTTCAGTTGGGATGTTCTTAAGCAACTCCGTGGCTTCCGAAGGACTGGGCAGGGAACGAGCAGTTTAGGTGTTTGCGTACGGGGCATATCTGCGTCAGTTGCAATACAGTAAACTGAAAAAAGATACATTCTAGTCAAGTTCAACAGTTAGATGCATGCCAATGTCATCATATCGATCTTGGTGCAAATACCATTAGTAGCAGACAGTCGACGGCGCCTAATGTTAGTAAATGCCTCAGTCTACAGCCGTACCAGCCAACTCCAAATCGCAATCACCCATAAATAACACCACTATAGTATGCTGAAAGTCATCACAGAATAATAAAAACAAGAAAGAATAATATATAGTGCGAAAACTTCACACTCAACGGTCGGGTTCGCTGCATAATGTATACTTTGACGTTTGCAAAAGGGCCTACAAGAGTAGTTAAAATGTGTCACCTTTCACATAATCGGGGCAATGGCGCATCTGGGAGCGCGTCAGACTGAAGCTTTAACTTCGGCCCACAGGCTTCGTCCGAAAGGATGTCTCTGTAAATCTGAAGGTGGCCGGTTCAAGCCCGGCTTGCCCCATTCTTTTTTTTTCCCCGTTCTTTTCGGACACGGATCGATCCCGCACCATCATCCACTTCAACGTAATCTTCTTTCTGGGTCAGACCTCATTATCTTTTATTTGTTTATTATTTTTGTCTCTTCTTTAAATTCGGAATTTTCTTACGCCGCCCTTTTATTTAGTTCAAGCCCCTCAAACCTTTTCGATTATTGCATGTTCTCCCATCTACTTACCTCACAGATAATCCAGCCACCCCTGACTTGATGACGGTCTAAAGCCGCAATTCAACATGCTTGTCTTATTACTTTTGACATTCTTTCGGACATTCGCGGCATGAATATTCAGAAACCTTGTTTTAAAGCCGTTGTATGTCTTTGGTCATGCGAACGTCCAGTCTTGGATGCACACAAACAGCAAGAGCTTAGCTTGATTCATGTACTCACAGTTCGAATTAATTATTTCGTGAGATAATGAAAGTGGCACATATTGGAATCTCCAGATGGTTATGATGCTTTCCCTTCTTCTATTTCCGTCTGGGCTGCCACGAGAAGTGAATCAAGAGCGAGGTAAAGAGGGAGTGTGCGTCTACTATACGAATATGTAAAGACAGGGCCGTGACTTGTTCTCACAATTACACATTGATGGCTGGGAACACCCACTGCATATCTACTAAGACACATGATAAAGGCTTGTGCATACTTTATGCTATTGCTTTCATGTGCTGCTGATCTGAGAGCAGGTACTGCTGATGGTCATTCACATCTGCACAGCAGTAGATCAGTAGGGATCCCCCGACATATTGGGTGCGACTGCTGCACCTACCATTCAAGGCACAAGTTGAGGCAATGGCTTTTCAACATAGGAAGAGTTTCCATCAAGCCAAATGGAATGAAACAAGCAGAAGGAACTCGGAAAGTCCATGTACATCTGATGTAAACTCCATGAATATGGATAACTAGTTTTAGACACGCTGGGATATAAATCCATCACCATCCCCATTCATAAATAGACGCAAGAGGTCATGACATCCAGCAGCGAGTGAACGAACTACAACCCGAAAAGACCAGCGTCTGAAACTGATTGGGATAGTTGCTCTTCAACACCACTACACCACCCTTGTCTCATATTCAAGATGGGTTGGAAATCACGGTTCCCGCCCCCTAAGCACCTCGGTGGGCGACAGCTCGAATTTGGATCTCAGATAGCCAAGTTATTGGATCATGCTAAGATTCCCTACGTGGCCTGCGGAGATTTAATGAACTTGCATTACCATAATGAGGGCATTGCGACTGTAAGGCAAACCAACCATATAATAGACTGAGAAAGAAATTGAACAAGGCTAACTGATCGACAATAGGCATGTGATATTTGCTTTGTGGTTCCAGACGATCGCCTGGATGCCACTATACGAGCGTTGCGAGTTGCTGGTTTATCCGAGGATCCTTGTACTGCTGGTGACATTGGTTGCTGCTGGGCTAAAATCCCAATTGAATACCCTTATCCGTTCCCGTGGCCTGCCAAACACTTCCATCGCTATGTTAAGGGAGGATTCGACGAGAAAGTAACCAGGTGCTATTCTGTCGGTTTGCTTCGGAAGTCCCAGTGGCTCTGGCTCATGCCCGATCTTCCCCTTGAATTTCCGGAGCCCAATGACCCTAATTTCATTCTCTCTACAGACCGCCGTCTTCCTGATTGGGATATGGATGGTTTCGGCAACTCCTTCTATCCCATAAAGCTGCTCACTCCGGCGCGTTGGATAGAGTCATTGTTTAGCCTGCATATCAGAGATTTGAGTGTAGATCAACATTTTGACGAACCCTGGTACCATTATGTTGTGGAGTTCCATGAACGACTTGCAAGACTACTTCCTCCGGAACTTTTTCATATTGACCTCATTCAACAACCTTTTCGCACCTTATATATAGAGGAAGCGGACTGGCGTAGCGAATTGGACTACAAGCACTTGTTGATGGACAGGTTGTGGAAAGAATGGCAGGAAGCTGGTTCTATGCCAGACCCCATTTACCCGTTCAATATCGAAAGGTATAAGAAGAATGTCAAGGAGAACAGAAATGTGTGGTTAATGCAAGAATGGATTGATGAGATCATGTCCAGTTAAATTCCAGAGTCGATCTTTCACTTACCCACGATACCTTCCTCCTTTCCGCTCTTCCCACCAGAAGATGGTTCCATCGAGAGCTTATCGAACAGAGGGGCTAGATGGGGTGAGCTTAGGCTTCAAAAATCAAATGTATCATTTTAATATAGAGCATGATTACTTACCAGGTTGTTTTCTAGAAATTAGTGATCAAGATGCCTGCCCTTCCGTTTGCGTCTCTCCTTAGTAAGGAGTACACTTCCTTTTCCTGGTTTGTCCCTGAAGAGAAAGTAATGAAACCCACTTTCCCAGCTTCTTAGTAAAAAGTCAGAACGAAAAAAGGGATGAGACAAGTAGATAATTGAATGGCATATGCTAATTAACGAATGGATGTTGTATGCACTACTATATCACTTCAGCTGTAGCGCTTTCCCGGTCAGAGATACTACTTTGTACTGAACACATAGCTGCGCGACACCACAGACATTCTGGCCCTGCCTTGACGTGATGTTACGAAGATACCTGCTCACTAAATCCGCCAAACAAGCGGCTAATACACCAGAATCTATTATATCTAATCTAGAAGATGTATGTATTCAAACAAGCAACTCTGGCATGAGATAACTGGTGAGGACCGGAAAATATATCCGCACTTGGGGCTTGGTGAACATGGCAGACGTTACTAGGGTCTATCATGGCCTTCGGGGTTGTCGTATTCATTAGTATTCCTAAAAATGGATGACATCGTGATTAACATTTGCTTAACTCTGAATTACCGTGTACCCTTGCATGAAATGGCTCAGAGCCTGCTTGGAAGTAGTCGGCAGTCCTCTCTCACTCCCTGTCATCTCTGCACGTATCAAGACCATAACAAAAGTAGGCCAAGGGAAGGTGTGCTCCTTGTTCGCTCCCCACCTTGGAGTCTCTTCACCAAGCTCTTTCTGTGCCTGACATTGTCTTAACAAGTGATTAGGAAGTACTAAACCGACTCCTTGTTGTTATTCAAACCCTACTCCTCTCACTTGCCGTCTCCCCTGTGCTGGTTCACAGCACACACTATGCTAACCCCTGCAAAAAGCAACCCACGAACAAACCAGAAGCACTCAAATACCGCTAATAAAGACTTAAGTAAGTTACCAGGGTACAACGCTGTTCTGCTTGCTTATCATTCTGGGCTTCCCATTGATGATCCTTGCTAGGGAACTACTGCTAGTAACCAGGAGTCTCCACTGGCCATTGCCACAGGCTTAAGTTTACGTGGCAGGGTGGCAAACGCGGAAGACAGATTCCGATCAGATGCTGTTGGAGGTTTAGATAATAAGTTAAGTAGATTGACTAGGGACTCTCTGCCTATCGCGTTGCTCGAGCGGGCTGCTGACCGAAATCTGACACACTGACCGTGAATATAGGACTGCCCTAGATCATATGTTCTGGTAGACTTGAAGATTGGACAAAGATAGAGATTGTAATCAGAATTGGGCAAGGGATGGTCCGTGGTGATTACTCGTTTGGGTGGGTGCTGAAGGTGGTTGGCGCCCAGTGCTCTTTTCGAACGGGCCAGACACAGGGTTCATACCAATCCATAGCAGACTTGGAGAGACAAAGACGGCTCCATCACCACGTGTACAGTCACACAGTCACTAAGTAGACAGAAAAGACAATCTTTCGCGCGGCTGCCGGGTAATGCTTCCGGTAACAGAGACAGCAGTTGAATTTAGACGGCTGACTCCGTCTCGCCCGTCGACCCACCCTCTCAACCATGGAGCACCAGCTGTAGCCAAAGACGCTTATGCGCCAAAAGCACGTCTGTACATACGACAGTCAGGAGAAAAAACGGCTAAAACAGGGAACTTCGTGTCCCAAGGATCCAAGTTCCTTGATTTGCTCCATGCCTCTGTCCCCCCTCTCTCCCCTCATGGGGCCGGGTCCCTGGCTCCTATTACGGAGATGGAGGGTGGGGACGACTTCAAGCTCGGTGGTTCTGTCGATTTGGGGCCTTATCCCGAACTGACACGGCAGGCCATGGCTTTATAATGCTGCATAATAACTGTTTCACCGCAGGTCATGATCATAAACGCTCATCTGTTCTTCTTTCTCTGTCTCAGGAACTCAGAACACTATCCGGATAACATGGAAGGCTTCAACCGCTCCGAGTTTCTAGGCACGGTATTCGAGTCTACAAAGCGGTAGGTTCAGCTAGCAGTAACTTGACGCTAAGGAATAAGTCTGACCTTGACCGTAACTCTGTTGGGTAGATATGGAAACTTGCAACCCATTGGCTTGGGGGTGTATGGCCTTGTTTGGTAGCCTCTGCCCTGTTTTTTCTTGATTTCTACTGGGAAGGGGGAGAGAGAGAGGAATTGTGAGTGAGTGAGGGTGAGTGAGGGTATGGCTGACATTTCAATCCAGCTCGGCACATGATCAGATTACGGGACAGGCAGTCGCCATCAAAAAAGTCATCAAGCCGTTCGAGACTGCCACAGTGGCAAAGCGTACCTTTCGAGAGGTGAAACTCTTGAAGCATTTTCGACACGAGAATGTATGGCGGGCCCTATCCATCTACCTTTAAGACGCCTTCTTCATTCTGACAATCTACAGCTCATCGGTCTTTGTGACATTTTTGTCTCTCCACTGGAGGACATGTAAGTACCCACAAACCCTCCATGCCATCACACTGGCACTGACCACTATCTCTCAGATATTTAGTGACTGAACTCCTTGCGACGGATTTGAATCGGTTGATGAGATCTAAACCCCTGGAACCCCAGTTTGTCCAATACTTTACCTACCAGATCTTGGTAAGTCAGCGGAGTGGTAACCCCAACAGAGTACCAATGCCCAGAAAGGACTAACTTAGCCTCCATAGCGTGGTCTGAAGTACATCCACTCCGCCGGCGTTATCCATCGGGACCTCAAGCCTAGCAATATTTTGGTTAACGAGAATTGCGACCTGAAAATATGCGATTTTGGGCTCGCACGAGTGAAGGAACATCAGATGACCGGCTATGTGTCTACACGCTATTATCGAGCACCGGAAATCATGCTGACATGGCAGAGATACGGCGTGGAGGTAGACCTCTGGAGTACCGGGTGCATTCTCGCCGAGATGCTCTCTGGAAAGCCCCTGTTTCCCGGGAAGGACCATATCAATCAATTCTACTTGATTATCGACCTCTTGGGCAACCCTCCTGATGAGGTCATCGATCGAATTTGCAGTAAGAACGTACGTTTCGAGAAACCACCATTATAACAGCCCCATGCTCACCTGAATGATAGACGGTACAGATAGTTAAGTCACTTGGGGATAGACAGCCACGCTGTCTAAGGACAATGTTCTCGAGCGTCGATGAAGCTGGTATGTGATGTTCTGTTTAGGCATGGATGATGGACTCCCCTACTTACCGAAACTTGCGGTACAGCCGTGGACCTCCTCGACAAGTTCTTGGTCTTCGACCCACACGCCAGGATATCGGCCAGCAATGCTCTAGAGCACCGCTATTTGCAGATATATCATGATCCTACTGATGAGCCCAGCGTCGAAAGACCATTCGATTGGTCGTTCGACGGCGCTCGACTCTCCAAGGAGACCCTCAAGCTTATGATGCACGTTTCCCCGGTGTCTTTAATCTATGCGTACCATCTCCTAACACAGAGCATGCAGATATGCAGAAGTGCTAGATTACCACCAATCCGACGAATTAGCCCACCCAGTTACCCTTGCTGAGGAGCCGATGTCCGGAGCTGATCTACTCCCGAATTTCAGCACATTTCCCGTGCCAGGACGGGAGACCGATACAAACCCGGACTCCACGTTTAGCCTCTTGGAGCCTTGGTCCACGTGGGACATTGGAGGCCTTGACCTATCATTACCAGCATCAGATTACGTGGATCCAGCTGGTCCTAGTTTACCGACAACAATTGGGTGAGCATGAAAATACCAATTACAAGGTTAAGCCCGGGGTCGAGCAGATTTCTTAGGTTCGATACCCCGAAAGAAATATCTAAATGGCATGATGAAATCTTGGACTCTTCCTTCACCCTTCCCTGTTGAGAGTACTGGATTATATGGGACAGATTAGGAGCCACATCTTGGCCCGCGCGTTGTAGTGGAGTCGTGCACATTCCCCAGCTCAGTAAAAAGCGAAATACTTTTCGTCTAAGGGTGCGAACAGACAACGACAGTACTGGTGCCCCAAGAAACGGGATAGTATGGGTCTTCAATACTTCTTGACGGCCATTCCGACGGCCAAGCCAGTCGTACTCTCAAATCCGCGGAGTTGCGCGAATCTTCTTTGACGGGCATATTCTGGAGCGTTAATGGTAATTCCAGTCATGCATCAGGCATCCTCAACGATATTATGTACTGAGTCGGAACTAGGGCGTTCGACCGCATGATTCGCCGGGAAATTAAGCATTGGACTGATAATTCATCCCATCGCGAACGTCGCAGCACGCCTCGATCTTTGGGGAGATAATACGGAGATGTGGACAGCCAAACTGGCCCAGTTCAATCGATTATAGTAAAGAACCCACCGCTGACCAGATTAACGCCCCGGCCGAAGGTGTCCGAAGGATAGATGCACCTCCTTGCCTCATTAAGTCTAGTTGTGTACATCTGAACTTAATCTGGTAAAAGCATCACTCGCCACCTTGGTTACCAAGTGCTTATTAACCATAGGCTGTTCAACAGGCGATGCCACGGCACAGCTCAGTCGTCTGACAGGATAATTTCCAAAGTAGCTCACAGCTAACTTGGCTGATTAGCAAAATCAGCCCTTAGTAAGTGGTTGCGGTGTACACAGTAAGTAAATGGACCTTTTTCCAATGGCCTCGTCAGTCCGAGGGGGGTGGCAAGAGACACCCACCCAAGAGAGTGTGTACTAGAAAAGGCCTCCCACGCAGATCTCGTACGGTGGGGCTGACTAGGCGATAGGCCATCAGATCTATCTAGTCTAGATCTACTCTCTACGGTTTGAGAGCCTAAGCGAGGTGGGGAGTGGAGACGGTCATGCCCGGTGTGCACTGGGCCACCCGTTATCTGAGTCTGGGAACCACCAACGAACTAGTCTAGTCTATCCCCAACACTTGAACACACTAACACCATGTCAGTCAACCCTTGTTGAGTATTTCCACTTGACTGACGGAGAGTCATCACAGTTAAGCCCCGTTTTTTTGACTCCACTGTCAGGTGGCAATGTTCGCCCTGCCAATTCCGTCTCGTCCATCTACTTTTCGACTGTGTACCACGGGAATAAAAGCAGTAGTCTAGTCAAGTCAGTACTCGTACTCAACAACTAGACGAGCGTCATGTCTTATTCTCCACTGACTTCAAACGTTCAGCCCTGGTGGATGAATAGAGCACTTGAAGTACGATAGCATGCTGGCGGCTCTGTCAGCCTCTGTGGCCGCCAACAAGGGCATCCAAGGCGTCGTAAAGCTCCCATAATCTCTTCCTTTCATGTCCCTCCTTCAGTGTGGAGATATCACCATGGGTTTGCCTACAATACCAAACAGCACGCTCTTATCTGTCTTCCACCGCAGCTACCCAAGAAGGGTGGCATGCAAATATGCTGACATGCCTCAACACAAGGACGGTTTTTTTTTGATTCGGAAGGCTTGTGTACGTACTGTGAGCACCTTTCGGTGCTGAAAGCCGTCTTCGGAAGTCCCGAAGCTCAGTATCTGCTACCAGCCCCACCGATAATACTTAGAAGATGCTAGTACTGAAGCCCTTGGAACCACCGCCTCGTCTGTACGGGGTAAACGCATTTCTCTCCTGTCTGACTGAGGTAGGGCTCGGCAGTGCTTTTCCGGCCAAACATCCCAGGTTAACAAACTCTATCATAGAAGATATCTGATCTTCCCTCTTGCTGCTATCAAAGTGTGGACAGGCCACATGGGCACGTTTTGACGCTCCTTGGGGGGATGTTACTTCTTATATTGTGGAATTGGACCTTGCAGCTGCACACAGCAAATTCAACCACCTCCAATGGTTGATGAGACGGCGAACGATACGCACTCGTAGATGTCATCATACGACGTTCAGCTTTCTGTGGATTTCGGACCTGATACCTGGTCGGGCAATCTTCTCCCTGTCTCCAACTCTGCAAGAGGCTTAGCGGAGAATTGCTCGGGCCCGAGATCGGCCAACCAATCCCAATCATCATCAGTACGTGTTAAGTACCACTTTTCAAAAATCACCTGCAAAGATTGAAATACTACTGCTTATTTACATTGTACTATTATCTGTCTGGTACTAATTAATCTTCCTTCCTCATTAGCCAATCCACCTGGGCCAAATGCATCCATCTATCGATGGGTTCGGATCGGCAAAATACCACGAGGGGTCCACATGATAAGCATCATCCTCCTATGTATTACCCATCCTGAGCCTACTGTGTATGGTTTAGGACTGAATCCCGCCTACTCCGTTAACCCCTCTTGAAGTTACCACTAGACTATGCCATGCCATGGCACATGGCCTTCCTATAAGTGAAACACTTGAGCATATTTTCCCCCGTGGAGACCACATCCCCACCTGAAAACCGGAGACCTCCACTTTCTGGTCTCGACCTCGATCCACAGACTGGCTGGACTTTCCGCATGAAGACGTCCTTACTACAACCACGTTCAATGCAGACCAAGATAGAGTCCATCCACCACATCTTGCTAGAGGTATCAGAGGAACCGACTGATCTCTACGTCGCAATGGAACTTCTTTTATCTACAGCAGCGAAAGCTCCCTTGTCGCAAACAAACGTGTATACCAAGGAGTGACATTTCTGATGCAAATAAAAGCTGGTATGCTAGCCATCATAGCAAAAAGTGTGTCATAATGATGAACACCCATTTCGTCCATGTATTGTGCCTTTTCTCAGGAGTCTGGGTTTCCCGAAGGAAAAGAAAATAGAGAACAATGATGAACGCCATTACACCAACGCCAACACACCAAGAACGCCAGGGCATGACATATGGCATAGGGAGGTTGGAAGACAAAGGATTAGGATTGTTCTCAAGGGGCTCATCTTCCAACCCGTCTGCCAGATCATCCTCTCCGTCCATGGACTCATCTCCCATCCCGTCTGCCAGCTCATCCTCTCCGTCCATGGACTCATCTTCCACCCCGTCTGCCAGCTCATCCTCTCCGTCCGTGGACTCATCTTCCACCCCGTCTGCCAGCTCATCAATATGGAGATGGAGGGCCGCACGCCACTCTTCACGCGTCCTCTTCTCATAGTTCCATCCCAGATCTATGAGCCTTGTCAGCTTCGCCTCCAGAGCGTTCCTCTGCCCATCCTCCCACCTAAACTGTGGATCAAGCCTTTTGGCTAAGTTCCACACCTGGGAGGATTTGATGATTGTTTTAGTCTCTGAAGGCAACAAGACCTCCATCAAAATGACGGAGGGGAGGTCAGCAAAGGGAATCGCCTCTCGCGGAACATATTGCAGCTGATGTACTTTCCCAAAAGCCTGGTAGCAAATTTGAAGTTTGAGGTCCCTAGCCGTGGGCGACAGCTGCCGTGGGGATACAGTGTCCAAGGTGCAAGAGATGCGATTGGAATCTTCCACTTTCATATTGAAAGAGCAGCCGTCAGCATTCGACATACTCGACATTGAAAAGTATCCGGATTGGTCGAATATGAGGTCCGCCCGGAGCGTGACTGGCGGAAGTTTTGTGTTGACGAGTATTTCGATTTTCTATTACACCACAGTGAGAAAGCTTTTCAATCAAATAGCTAGGGGTGACAGAGATGGGTAACCGAATGGAGAAGGTTTTCATACTTCCAGTGACCTGTCTTTGAGATGGTGGCTAATGCACGCCTTTCCGACGACTAAGACCTTTGCGGATTTGAAATCCTCATAGCGTCTTAATACGCCGAACAGCTCCTGCAAAACTTTGTGTGAAGCACCATCGGATGTCGAGGTCATTGAGGGATTTGGTAGGGGGTCGGCGGAGGTGGCAGTAGCAATGGCAGTGGTGGTGGTGCGCTGGGGGTGGCTCATCTTGACAGGAGAAAGAATCTCAGGTCAAGTAAGATAATAAACTAGAGTGGTTGAGTTGAAGGAAACTGAAAATGAGGTAGAGGACTTGTGTATTATGACAATGATTGTCTTGCAGCTTTGCATTGCCGCAGACTACTCTATACTTATACTAGATGATCACTCATGATGGAAGCAAAATGGCACATTTGAGAGTGCGCCTCCGACGCGGCAACCCCCCCCCCCCCCCCCCCCCCCCCCCCCCCCCCCCCCCCCCCCCCCCCCCCCCCCCCCCCCCTCCCCACCCCCAAAAGTCACCCCGACCACCACATCCCTCAAGCCCGAATGCATGCACAGCGATCGTGAAGTGATGTGTTGGCATCAATAGGGTCTGTGACTGCGCTTCGCTTAACGTAACCTTCGTCATCGTAAAGACGATAGCGGACATGTTGGCCTTTGAAGGTTCAACGCTCCAACACAACTGGCCCTGTTTCTCATGCAAACCCGGGCAGCAGCAGTAGCCGAGACCGCTCCGATGAAATAGATCGTCCGATCTGAGTTGTTGGGCTAACCGGTGTTATTGAACTTTGCAGTTGGTGTGGAAAGGCACCGCGTATGTTACACTAAGTCTTAGTCGAACGCTCAATGGCTGGTAAGCGATGTCCGCTCCGGGACTGAGTGAACCGATGAGTATCCGGGCTATCATCAGATTTGGACCGCTACCAGCCATGCAACCATCATATCAGCAGCGTCGGTATGGTGAGGTACGATGCTCTATGAAATTTTGTCAGCCAGCGAAGGGGGAATAGTCAAGTCATATCATAGAGCTCTAGAGCGAGCATAGTGTGATAGAGACGATGCATCGATGAAGGGGAAGGGGAGTTTGGTCCAAGCGAGGAATGCGGGAGCCAAGCCTCCATGACAGGCTATCCATGTCCAGTATATTGAGCTTGAAGCTTTGGGTCGATCCGTGTTGACCCGGGAAAAAGGAATGAAAGATTGACGAGTAAACCATTAAGTGCTGCTTACTGCTAGAGACTGGAAACACAGAATGTGAGACATAGCCTACCAGACCAGATCTCTCGTATAGACCGCTTCCTGCTCTTTCTACCTTTAGCACTTTTCTCTTTATCCGCTCAAGCCGCCATATGTATCTTGGATGGCTCAAGTAGGCCTGCCAGCTCCGTGACCAGCCGTAGGACCTCGCAATACGTATAATGACACATGGGATACATGGCGGACTTACCGTAGATATGGATCGCCGCATTCTAAATGTATTGTATTAAACAGCAGATGGATAGCCAGCGGAACGAGGGATTGTGAAGAAAGCTGGAAAATGCTGAAACAATGACCAGTGTGATCTATCTCTCCTTAAGCTTTTCGCCGTTGGATGAGAAGAGAGGCGCTGGTGCTCCGGACCCGGTGGTCGAATACCACACCGTACTGTAGGGAGCCTTCAGCCACAAAAAGACATTGAATCCTGTGATTATCCGGAACAACCCGTCCTCAGAAGCTTCATCGATGCGGTCAGAGCGAGCTGACGAGTCCAGAAGGCTCAGAGCAAACGGTTTGGAAACGGCGTGAGATAAGAAACGAGAAATCACAATGACAGGCGTTTGAATGTAGTCAGCATACGTCACGCGAGCAGCTTTACAGCTCTGGGAATTGACAGGGTTGGTAGCTCGCGGAACAGCCTATGAGAGTTGACCTGGCTAGACACAAATCATACCTCTCCATCCTCAGCGAACTGAGCAAGCAGCCCTCACCCACAAAGTCGGAGGAGCAGGCACTTCTCAGGGGTAATCCAGTTCCCCGTAGAGGTTGCACTTGTCCAGTCCTACTCAATCATGTCAAATATTAGAGGCACAGCAAGCTCTAACCGATCAGGTCACGGACTTCAAGCCACAGCACGCAGTAACTGACGGCCATATCCTCCGAGCAATGTATGCTCGGGCACTAGGCCTGACCTGGTCTGTGTGCTGCTGCTTTCTACTGGCTATCTCGCCGGTTAAGGATTGTGCGACGATCTACTGTCGTCATCCTGTGGCTATCTTTCATAGCAAGGCAGAGCGCACCATCGCCCTCTGAATAACCTTTGGGGGACGGCTGAACTGGTCATCTGGTTTCGCGACGCCACCTAGATCCAGAATCGTAGAGGTGTAAGATACTTATCAACTTGAGACACCAATCACAAGTCACACCAAGTATTGCGCCCATTCCACCTATCAACCTTTCCAGGGAGATGATATCATTGAGCAAATTCGGTCGCCGGCTGCAACTTTAGCGGCGTTACTCATCAGTTATAGTACACAGACACAGTGGGCCCTTTGAATGGACATCCGGGTATGGCACCATGACATCGGCTCCAAACAGCCATGCAGATCCCCTAAGCTTTCAATCAGCCATAATCCCAATAAAACTGAGAAGAACTGAGTTCCTCACCTCACATACTCTACGTTAGTAATGATCTTCGGACTTTGTATCACTTAATAGATCGACAAGAATACGGGCCCTGCAGTCTGGTTCTAAAAGTGGGCCTAGGCTCTGCTATGGCGGGATCAGTAGAGTAGAGAAACTGCATGTACGTTTGCTGATCATTTCATTCTTAGTTGAACTGGCTTGTCAGTAAGTAGATTCTCAGACCGATCGGTCTCTGGTGGCTGTCATCGTCCGCTTTTCTTGGCCCTTCCTCTTCTCACTTCAGGAAACGGCTTGTATCAGGACGAAGTGGGAAGAGAACGAGCACGTGCAAAAGACGCTGGCTTGTTAAGCGGTGTGGTAGAATGTGGAAGCACGCATCTTTTGGACTTGAGGAGGGCTAGGGTGGTGAGATGATGAGCGTGTAGGGAAACTTGCGGTTGAGATGCATGGCGGGTGCATCACCTGACCTGCTTTAGCATGGATTCTATAGACGGGTGCCCAAAGTCCCTGATGCGATCTTTATATATCTGAGAGGCTACTCCGCTTAGCTTTGAATACGGTTTGATTATGCGGCATAATTACGATAAAATGAGAGAGGTAATAGCATCTTCAGCCAAGGGAGACATATTTAATAGCATCCTCTAAGCTGCAGCAGGAGTAGATACATAGCATAATGACGACCCGGAGATCGTGTAGATAATCGTGACGATGACCGAATTAGACATAGATACCCATGTTCGTGTCCTTCTTCTTCGCCTGTACTTCCGAAATGGCATCCACGTAGTTCTCGTGTCCTACTTTGCTCATGCCCTTCCGGAGAGCAATCATACCCGCCTCCACGCAGACAGCCTTCAGCTGAGCACCGCCAAACTCGTCGGTACTGCGGGCCAGTTCCGCCCAGTTAACCCGGTCATCCACGGCCATTTTGCGGGAGTGAATCTGCAGGATGTTGGCTCTCGCCTCCTCGTTGGGTAGCGGGAACTCGATCTTGCGGTCCAGACGACCAGAACGGAGCAGGGCGGGATCGAGAACGTCGACACGGTTCGTGGCCGCGAGGACCTTGATGCGATCATCCGAGGCAAATCCGTCGAGCTGATTGAGCAGTTCAAGCATGGTTCGCTGCACTTCACGGTCACCGGACTTCTCGGAGTCGAAACGCTTCGTACCGACCGCATCCAGCTCGTCGATGAAGATAATGGAAGGTGCCTTCTCCTTGGCAAGGGCGAAGCAGTCACGAACAAGTTTCGCACCATCACCGATGAACATCTGCACCAACTGCGGACCGGCGAGCTTGAGGAATGTGGCGTTCGTCTCTGCTGCACAGGCTCGGGCAAGAAGTGTCTTACCCGTACCGGGAGGTCCGTACATTAGAGCACCTGTGAAGTGTGTCAGAAAGCCCGTACTAGGCTGAAGAGACCAAGGATTGCATACCTTTCGGTGCCTTGATGCCAAGCTTCTTGAACCTGTCAGCCTCCTTCATAGGCCATACGATAGCCTCCACAATCTCCTCGATTTGCTTATCCAAGCCACCAATGTCGGTGTACTTCTCCGTCGGCTTCTCATCGACCTCCATGGCCTTAACACGGTTATCGTACTCGGCAGGTAGCGTATCCAGGACGAGGTATGAGTCCTTGTTGACACCAATGAGATCACCAGGCTTCAACTTCTCGTGATCTACTAGACCAATGAGAGGGAGATAGATAGTCTGGCGGGTCGACGTCTTGATGACAGCCGACTTGCCCACCCGTGTAGCATCAAGGTCAATGTTCGCCCCCTCCTCGGCAGCCTCAGCTTCAACATCCAAATCCAAAAGCTCGACGACGTTTCCGACCAGGTAGGGTAATTGCCTATCAAGAGAAACAGTTAGTAAATGACCCGAATTGCGCCGCAATTGCCACCGCGTCGAACAGACGCCAGCGGAACTGAAGGCCACGGGACTCAGAGCTTACCTGTTGTTCTCGATCTTTTCTTGGTTATCCTTAACTTTCTCTCGCATCGTGTTTTGCTCGTGGGTCAGGCGCTGGTATTCGCTCTTCATTATACGCAGCTCGTTCTCCAGCATCCGCCGTCGTTTGACGATGTCCGCTGTGCTCGAGCTAAGGATCTCTTCGTCCAAGAGTCCATCATCCTCATCTTTCTTGGCATCGGCATCTTTCATCTCAGCATCTCCTTCACCTTCGGGCTTCCTGCCTTCGCCGTCATCTCCCTGGTCCTTCTTCTTGTCTCTCTGCTCACGCTCAAGGTCGTCGAGGTCTTCCAAGGTCGACATGGTGGAAAACTAGAGTGCGGGCGTATGAGGTTAAAAATCGTAATAAGAGCGGAAAGGGTATCTGGATCGGGGGGTGGGTGTGTTTTGTCGAAGGTGATGGACCTAGGGAGAAAGGGTTGGGGAACTTGAGCTGTGTTGGAGTCGTGATGCTTGAGCTCCGGCCAAACAACGTCAGCTGTCTTGCCTACGTCACGTGATACCATTACAAATAGCTTGCGCGAGTCCGCTTCGGTAAACACTGCCAACAACGCTCAATGAGCTTTTCTAAGCCTTGAAATCTACAAAGGATCTAGGATATGTACACTAGAACAACCAACTGATGTTAATGTACAGTTATCAGCTGCCTGCACATACCCCCACGGAACAACAGGTTCAAATGTAGTAGTTGGGGTTATCCAGGGACCACTGGTCATTGCCGATGTTTCTTAGGACCTCCTCGCGACCGAATTTAAGAAGACGGTATCGTGAGATGAAGTCATCATTGTTTACTGTCCAGTGTTAGCATGTTGATTTTTCAGGACAGGGATACGATAACAAGAAGCATGTAACGGAAGGCCAGCAAAACATTCAGAAAAAGGAATTCACAGCAGTGAAGGATACTTACTATATCCACCGCACATCCTGCGCTTTCCTGTAAATTCCGAGCGACCGTGAAGCATTCTCCAATTGTCGAAGACTTGGGGAAAATTAGTCCTGTTCGCAAACATCGTTCCCTGCAACACTTACTGAGGGCTGTCCCTGGTTCAAGCTGTGTCCAGATCTCCATGTCTTTGCGACGAATTATCTCGTCCCAGTGCCGTGCGGCCGTATACCATTTGACCTGTTCCTCCCAGTTCCAATTCTTCTTGGCGGCTCTGTCATAGTTGTTCCAGCGAATCTGAAATAGCCGTTGTAGTTCAGGGTGAACCTTAAGGACTGGAGCTTGCTCCGCCGGTTGCACGCATACGTCCTCATTGCCACTTGAGTGGTAAGGGTGGTTCGTTGACATCAATACCTCGAAGTCTTGTGGGCTCTCTTCACGAAGAATCGAAGCAGCCCGGAAACCATCAACAAGTAGGCTGGCGCCGCCATCTCCATTGGTATGGGATAGAAGGTGGAATAGCTGGAGCCTCGCAGGATCGGTGAAATAGGTGTTGTCCGTATGTGCTCCGAGAAATTCTGTCGTATATGCGGTGTCCTTGAAGGTCAAGTCGGCTGTGAAATCCCAGAACCCACCTTGTAAACGGGAGAGAGTCAGAAATCGACACAGTAACGGCCAAGGATGTTGCCTTACCGTAATGAGTGTTTCTGATGAAAGCAATTCTCTTTAGGAGAGCTTCAGTTGATTCGGGGTTGGTAGGAACTCCTTGTACAAAAGCAAATCCCCAGTCGTACTTCGCAGTGTAAGCAAGACTTTCTGGTTAGCAATGGAGTCATAGCTTACAATTCCTTCAAGCCAGTCACGCAGAGCACCATCGTCGGCCATGATATCTGCGTAAGGAAATGTGGGAAATGTACTGTCTCTGCCCGGAACGTATGATTTGATCTCTCTGAGTCGAATTAGCATTTCAGCAAGGGTAGCCACTGCAGCTCAACGGTTGAAGTACCTGAAATGTAGTTCTGACTTCGGTTCCAGCTTGGAAACAGGCTTGTTGGAATGGCTCTTGAGCCACGGAAATGGATAATAGGCATGATGCCCGTCCGACCCTTTACAAAGTCAACGTCCACTGTAATATGACGGGATAATGTTCGCTTACAGTCTACCTTCACACCATCCTTCTCATAACTGAGATCTTTGATACGGATATCATCAGGTATCTGTATCAGATAATCATCAGTAACTCCATCCGTAACAAGACATTAACTTACTGACTCACCGCAAACGTATCAACAGTTCGTTGTCTTGTGTCTGGATGGATGCATTTGGAACATTGGCAGTTGTCCCTAAATATAAGTAAGTTACTGGTCGTGCACATGCGCTACTCTAGCTTTTGGAACGCCCACCGGAGCCAAAACGTCCCACTGTGTGATATTAGCATCGTGATTCAATTGATTCCATATCAAGGATCCTTACAAATTGCTGGCTTGACCTTCATGACCGAGCTGCAACGCCTCCCACTTTTTGTTCCTCAAGTGGAGAGGCCAGGGATCCTCGTTATCGCTGCTAGAGGGTGTGGCCCGGGCATTTGCCACTGATGAATTCGCGCGTACTAGCGAAGGGAATCGAGTTGAGACGGATGATGACTTGTAGGTCTTTGAAAAGAGTGCACCCCGGTATCAGATTGCTACTCTCACTGGATTTGGTGATCTGCCTCTTACCATTCTAACATATTTCGGGGTAAATGATGACACGGCACGCGATGTGCTAGTACCTCGGTCAATCATCACTGTATGTGCGGGAGTCCTTGGGCGTCATACCTTGCATGATTCAAGGGACCAAGTGCCCTAAGGAAGGAGAGTCTGGCCACACTGTACATTTTGATCTTACTATACACAAAACTGAGGATTATTGATGGGAAACAATGGATCTCCACAGTGTCACCCCATATCAAGCCCCACGTCACGTGCGGCCGTCAATTAGGCCTCGGCCCGCCATTCTGATCTTATCTTTCGTTTGATTCCAGTGTACACGTAGTAGATGGCCGATGAACTCCATTTTATGATTGATTATCCATAAAGTTGCTGGTTATTAAATAGAAAAACAGCTAGCGACAGATCTCTACACTCATTGAATACACCACAGGTGCCAATCATAGCTTGCTTCTTGGGTTGGTAACCTTCATCAGACAGCAGCCATTGCTCAGAACTGCCTTGCCCTTACCATTCTTGGTCACGAATCGAATTTCTTCATACCCATCTTGAAGACTGCCCGTTCTCCAGATCTCAGTGATAAGCTTGTCACCAGGTATAACTGGCGAAGCAAAGCGCGCTTGGATCTCCTTAAGATTCTTCGGATCACTACCACCGAGCTCTCGCAGAACACCATGGGCAGCGGAATTCCAGCTGAAGAGGCCATGGACGATGGCGCCACCGAAGCCCATCTTCTCGCCAGGCTCGGGAGTAGCATGTAGAGGATTGTAGTCTCCGTTGAGTCTAATCGGCGGTATCATTGTCAGCATTCAAGGATCCACCTTGTCCACTACGCTAGTACTCTTATGTGGCTGGGGCGGTATCTTACCGATAGAGATGGGCTGTCTCCGGATTCGTTTGGACTACATGAACGGCATCTGGCTGCTTGCCTTCAGGTGGGGCATAGTTGGCATTGCTGGGGCCTAAAACCCATCGCGTCAATAAAAAGGATATTTGATATAACAAGTGCTTTTGGAAGCCTTACCTTTCGGTCCACCCCAGTTACCCTGGCCAACGAAGAAACCGCTGCTAACAGTTCTTGAGTAGATCTCGCCTGTCTCATCCACAATAGTCTGTTCTGTTTCGATGACAGTGCCAGGCTTGCCCTTGTCATAGACTCCAATGACCTTGTTGCGCAACTCGAACTTCTTACCCTCGCTCGTGGGGGGCAAGGGCTTAAGGATGGTGAGCTTGCGCTGGCCGTCAACCACGCGGCGATAGTCGAACTTTGGAACACCAGGGATAGGGGATCCGCCAGAACGGGCATAGAAGTCCGTTACTTCTTGATCAGTGAGCTTAAACGCTGTATTGAATACGTTATTAGCGAGGAATTCATGTCATGCAGCTGAGGGACATTAAACCCAGAGAGTTCATATCCGGAACGTAATCCTTGAACACCGCGATACTTCACTTCGTAGAACCGGGAAATTATACATACGAAGAATTATAGGATACGTGGGAAAGACCGCGAAGTTCGGATGGAGCTCCTGTGCGAACCTCAGTAAGAAAATTGTGTAGTTAATATGAGCATATAGAATGGAACTCACGTAGAGAAAATGCAGCTCATCGGCCTTGCAGCCGATACTGTAGGCAAAAAGTAGAGCGTCACGCTTGAGCCAGGACACCTCCTGGCGAGGGAATTCATGACCAGCTCCTGGGGTTGACATTATGGAAGGTCGATTAAGATGCGATAAATTCACCAAACACAACTAAGGACAATGGTAGGGCCTACGGGGGACGCTTCTTTATCTGGAGGTCGAAGATAGATTGATGCGGAGAAAGGCCCCCAGAAGGGGCAGTTAGTGTAATCCATGCCGTTGCGGGGCTCCGGCCAAACCGAGGCTCGATCACGTATCAGCCGATTTGGCCGAGAACATTCCCTATCCTATTACTGATTGTTTTCTACCAGTGACGAGACTGTCATACCTTTCAATGCACACTAAGTTTTGTTTCTTATCATCTGAATGGCAAGATGAATGTAATGACTTTAAAAGAAATTATCAGAGGTAGTGAACCGGTTAATTGAACTTCGTGAGATTAATGGACCTGAAGCTAAGTAATGCATAGACAGAACGTCGGAGGTGTGAGACTGAGCGTCGACTCGGGGTATCTACTTGGGAAATTCGAGGAGCTTCATAATCGTCCTTTGGAAATCTTCTCTCCGTACCGCGCCAACTGATGATGCCGTTGCCTTGCCTTCCGTATACGCCGAGAAAAATGATGAAAAATGGCATGACTGAAATCAAAGGAAGTCCAAAATATAACCTTCCATCAGACCGACATCCATACAAGTGAACTTCCGTTAAAATGCTATGCTGCCCACAGGGCAGAACCACTTTATGTTACTGGTGAACATAAATCGACTCCAAGCAAAATAGCTAAGCAACCGAAGAAACAAGGGATGGCCAAGAATTTAGCACCTGCGAGGGTTAGCACATGATGAGTTACTCTGACAAGAACGATTACTCACATCCTGTAGAAGCAGCTGCCCTCGGAGTAACGGTTCGGATCCGTGGTCTCGAACTTGTAGGAGATGCTGATGTCAAGGTCGCGCTTGTTCTTATCGTTCGGCTTGTTCTCGAGAACACCGGAAACAACTTCCTCCTCTTCGACGGTCAGAACATCGCGAAGATAGAAGACGGTCTGCTTCCAGTGCGTGTATTTGGCATGGGGACCGGTGGAGAAGGTGATGGGCTTGTGGCATGCGCCAAATTCAATATCGAACCAAGCGATCACTGCGTGGATGAAGTCACTGCGCTTGGCAGGAAGCGAAAAGGGTACCTTGAAGACCAAGTCGGCCGGAGTGACAGTGTAAAGATCAAGGGTGATGATGGGGCAAGGGTCGGTAACGAGCGCCTTCATCTCGACAGTGTCGACAAGGGGCTCGGTAAGGGCAATCTGCTTCATCGGGCTGTAGTTGAATCCATACACATTGTCCCAGACTAAGATCCATTAGCGTCCCAAGTTCATCGAAAATAGTGGCGCCAAGTGAAGTGTGCTTACATCCAATTTTGTCATCCTTGTACTCGCCATCCTCGATGGCAGCCAAGTACATGGTGGCCTTGTCGGGGAAGATCTTGCCGCCAGGAACAAGGTAACGGTCACGGGCGTAGAGAACGGTGTCCAACATGCTCTCATAGAGAAGGAAGTAGCCCATCCACTCGGAGATGATGATATCAACCTTGGGATAAGGGAGGACAACCTCCTCCATCTTTCCCTGGAGCAGGGTGATCTTGTCCGACAAGCCATTCACAGCAACAATCTCACGAGCCTTCTCAATGATCGACGACATATCGACACCAATCACATGCTTGGCACCTGCCTTGGCGGCGAACCTTTTGAACCAAATGTGTTAGAAATATCCCGTTGTTGACCAGTCGATCGGCTTGAACATACATGCTGAGAATACCAGTTCCGCAACCGACATCGAGAACGACCTTGTCCTTGAAAATGTGACGGTTCTGGTAGATAGAGTCACGGTACGATCTAGTACGAACATCATCTTTCTAGAAAACCAGTGGTGGTTAGCGATAGTCAAGGCGTTGTAGTTAGAATTGTACTTACAAGCATCTCCTCATGAATGCCTGAGCGGGGTCCGAGATTAGCCACATCCGACTAAAGTTACTTAGGTCATTGATAGTATTTACCATGGTGATCATAACTGTGATTTCTGTCAGCATAAATGATGCGAGGAAGACTTCTTATCTTGGCCATACCTCGTGAAATAACGCACTTCAGCGTGGTCCATGCCTACCATGCGATCAGCGCTGCTGGTGGTCATGGCAGCAGAGTCTGCTTCTCCGGCCATATTTGCGGATCGGTCGATTTGGTGATGGTCGATAAGACAGAAGGAAGAAGAGGCAGAGGCACAGTAAGAGAATAATGTGCAAGGGGAAAGATAGGAAAAGCCGAAGAAAGAAAGAAAAAAAAAATGCTATACAGCTATGTTATGGAGAAAAAGATATGGGCGCCTCAAAGATCCCTTCAAGCGCGGCCCTCTTTTTTTTTAACTTTTGCCTTGTTAGGAATTTCTCCTCTCGATGGCAACTCCCGCTAAATCCGATAAGGTTAGCTCATTTCATTGAGCGCTAGTCCCAAGTCGGACGTATCATGTGACTCATTAGCCCTTTGTCGTGACTAGGGCTATCCCAGCCAGCATGCCAGTTGGCGGTTAGTGATGGAATTTGGCGCTGGCCTGCTGTTTTCTAGAATGATTGAATGATTTGGCCACCGGTACAATATCTAGGGGATGCCGGTTTTCCAAGACTAGTTATTTATCGAATGTCATATAAAGACTCGTATGGTCGCGCAACTGGTTTTCCGTATGTTGCATGCTACTGGTGGTTCATAGTAGTACCGCGTAAGATTCCCTAGCATGAACGGAAACAAGCACCCCAAGCCTGGTGCTGAAACAGATACACTCCGGGAAAGTGGGGCTGGATTGCCTACTTTGTAGATTGAGTAGAGTTCACAAATGAGCTTGAAATGATCTTGCTTCTAATACTGACTATCTACATAGTACGTATAGTGTACGGAGAATAGATGCCTTAGAAGGCGTTGCCAAGCTGTTGTTCCATTGTTGCCGTGCGCGATGCCGCTCCGCCCCCGCCGGAGCTACACGCCGCCCGTCTAGCGTCTAAGCTGTTAGTTTCACTCCTGAAGCTTCCCTTCTCAACTAGAGTGCCATACAACAACCACGAAAAAGCACCATGTTTATAGGAACGATAAGGAGGAGTACTTACTGCTGCTTCCTTTTCCTTCTCATTGCCGCTCTTATTGGTAAAACGACAGCCTCTCTTGGTGACCACCTTCCCGACTTCAAAGAATGCGTTAAGGTACATCAACCGGAACCTCATAGCATCCACAACCCGGGAGCCAATGGCTAAGCAACGAACAGGTTTGCCAGGCTGAGAATTGCCAGGATGGCAATGAAGTAATTCGTGAGTTTTATGAGCATTGCTTTTTGCCAGCTTGGCTACTAACCAATTGGCTGTCAGCTCTCCATCTTCGCCTCATGCTGTGGACATGCCCTTCCGAATGCGATTATACCTGCCAACATGTCGTGACGGACCGCCGTGTCGCTCGTGATCCTCCCATGTTGAACCCAGTATTACAATTCCATGGTAAATGGCCATTCCGCAGAATCCTGGGGATGCAGGAACCATTTTCCGTTCTCTTCTCTTTGTTCAACTTTCTTGCCCACTGGCATGGGATTGGACGCATTCGTGAGACGGTACCAGCTTGGCACTCCCTGCGGCCCTATTACATTGCCTTCGGATACTGCGGTTTGGCATGCTGGACCTTCAGCGCGGTGTTCCACATGAGGGACTTGTCCTTGACCGAGAAGTTGGATTACTTTGGAGCGGGGGCTAATGTCATGTATGGGTTCTACCTTGCACTTCTTCGGATCTTTCGTCTGGACCAGGAGAAACCTAGACACAAACCAACTTTACGTCGTCTGTTGACCACGGTCTGTGCTCTGCTCTACACATTGCATGTGTGCTACCTCAGCTTCTGGTCGTGGGACTACACATACAACATGATCGCAAACATCGTGATAGGGATGGCCCAGAACATCCTATGGGTGGCATTCAGTATTCACCGCTATCGCAAGTACGGCAAGGAATGGATGGCCTGGCCCGGAATGATTGTGGTGTGGATTATTTTGGCTATGAGCCTCGAGTTGCTGGACTTTCCCCCTTGGCACGAGCTGATTGATGCGCATAGCCTTTGGCACCTTGGAACTGTGATCCCGACTGCTTGGTGGTATTTGTGAGTTTATGCTGGAATCTGACCATAGGTTTACTTCGCAGCTAACAATTGCGATAGGTTTCTCATCAAGGATGTCCAAAACGATGTGGCGGGCGATAGGCTGAAAGCCTAATTCAGCTCAATGGCTCGATCCGAAATATCTGGACACGCATGACCATTTATCACCCGGTCTATTGGTCTAGCTTCGTATCACCAGTGCAGGTGATCGGATAGTAGTAGCTTGTATAATATGATAGAGTAGTAGTTTTCAAACCAACCGCGCCAGGTAACCAGCCAATAAATTTGGGCATTCCTAGTATTTATTATGGGCGATTCTTTTTGCTATAGTTATGCTCATTGAATACCAAGTCTAATCAAGACAAAAGAGAGAGGTGAATAGACATGCCGTGCCATGCAATGCTTCGACTCCATTCCTCCCGCTTCTGCATTGCACCACACCATGCCATGAATTGATTGTTGCGGGTGCCTCACCGCCCACCGCTCGGGACCCTGGGTACGTAGGCAGTAACAGGGGAACAGGGGCAGGAAACTAAACCTGAGCTGGACGGAGCGTGTCTCACCCAATCTTTTATTTGACCCTCCCCCTCTCTCGTTTCTTTTTTTTATTGTGGTTCTACCCCCCCCTTTCGCTTCATATTATATGTTCTCTGAACCCCCGAGGTCTCAGTTTTTCAAGTCCTTTTGGTGCTAGTCAACTTATCCTTGGTTTAGTTTGCGCCACAATGGCGTCCCCGGCTATCAGAAAGGCGATCGCTGAAGCGGCGTCGCAGTACTCCAAGCCCGAAGGGAAGGTCTTTCAATATGGTACCGCGGGGGTGAGTTCGTTACTCCATGAATTCCGACTCTTTCAGATATGAAACAAGATGTACTAATTACCTCCCTTACTTGCAGTTCCGTATGAAGGCGTAAGTTGCTCCCCTACCGATAAACACCTCGAAGGATCGACCCCGCCTCCACAATACCCCGCGACCGCCCTCTTGTTTACACTTTGACCAACGCATTGCCAGTGATCTCCTCAACACCGTAGTCTTCACCGTGGGCTTGCTTGCTGGGCTTCGTTCCAGAAAGCTTAGTGGACAATGGGTTGGTGTCATGGTCACTGCCAGTCACAACCCCGCGGAAGATAATGGCGTCAAGTTGATTGATCCCATGGTGAGTCCGCTGTGAACCTCGCCAGCTTGGAGTATGTGCAATGACATGATAAGTGGCTAATACTGTATAGGGTGAAATGTTGGAGGTAAGCTCCCGGAGCTGTAGGATACTGAAATGCGACGACTTTCTCACATCGCTGTAGGCTGAGTGGGAAACTTATGCCACCAGACTTGCCAATGCCCCGCTTGACAAGGTCGGTGATGTCTTTGACGAACTCATCAAGGAGATCGATGTCAGCATGGAGAACCCCGCTCGTGTCGTCTTCGCTCGCGACACTCGTGCCTCCGGCTCGCGTCTGGTCTCCGTCATCAATGCCGCCCTTACCGCTTCGGAGGTCGAATTCATCGATCTGAAGTACATGACCACCCCTCAGCTTCACTATGTTGTGCGCTGCAAGAACACTCTGGGCACCCAGTATGAGTATGGCGAGCCCACAGAGCAGGGCTACTATGAGAAGCTTGCCGAAGCTTTCAAGAGAGTTATGCGTGGTGTTAAGGTCAAGGGCTCGTTGACCGTGGACTGCGCGAACGGTGTTGGTGGGCCCAAGCTGAGAGAGCTCATCAAGTACCTGCCCGGCCCGGAGGAGGGTGGCATGGATATCAAGATAGTTAATGATGATGTCATTAACCCTGATAGCCTGAACTTTGAAGTGCGAAACTCCCTCTGTTCATCCTGCTTCTATCTGCATACTGACTGGCTTCTAGTGTGGTGCCGATTATGTCAAAACGAAACAACGTGCCCCGCCTTCCTCCAAGGCAGCTGCTCTTGACCGCTGTGCCTCGCTGGATGGTGACGCCGATCGTATCGTGTACTACTTCATCGACGAGAGCAACACTTTCAGATTGCTTGACGGTGACCGCATTGCCACCCTTGCGGCCTCCTTCATCGGCGATCTTGCGCGGAGCGCTGGAATTGCGCAGAAGCTCAAGATCGGCGTCGTCCAGACCGCTTACGCCAATGGTTCCAGCACGGACTACATCGAGAAGGTCCTGAAGTTGCCTTCTGTTTGCACCAACACTGGTGTCAAGCATCTGCACCATGCGGCCCTGCGCTTCGACGTTGGCGTCTACTTCGAGGCCAACGGTCACGGTACCATTACTTTCTCCGAGACCGCCTTGAAGACCATTAAGAACACTGAGCCCCAGTCTCCTGCCCAGCAGCGCTCCCTTGAGTGCCTTCAGGCTCTTACTGACCTGATCAACCAGGCGGTCGGTGATGCCATCTCCGACATGCTTCTGGTCGAAGCTATTCTTGCTCACAAGGGCTGGAGCCCCAAGGAATGGCTTGCTACTTACACCGACCTTCCCTCGCGACTTGTCCGCGTGGAGGTCGCAGACCGCTCCATCTTCAAGGCTTACGATGCCGAGCGCAAGCTCGAGTCGCCCCCAGGCCTCCAGGCTAAGATTGAGTCCCTCCAGTCCCGCTACAACAAGGGCAGAAGCTTTGCCCGTGCAAGTGGCACGGAAGATGCGGTGCGTGTCTATGCCGAGGCAGCAAGCCGCTCCGAGGCGGACGACCTTGCTACCCGTGTCGCCAACGCCGTCCGCGAGGCTGGCACTGCCAAGGAAACATTGCAGTCTGCTTGAACCCATACTGCCTTGGAATGACGGACTGCTCTAAATAGCAAAGCCCGATTCACCTGCAAAAAGATATCAGATATACTTACACAAATGGCAAGCGCATGAACAGGAAAACTCTGTTCTGCCTTGCAAGCATCCTGGGAACTTTTACGAATGAATTTATGAAATTAGTCTAATCTGCATTGAAGCAAAAGAAGTTGCATTTGATGTTCTCAGATCCGTTTTTATGTTTCAGATACATTCTTCTAGCATTTCTAGTTGATTGAAGCCACATCTAGACTTTTATAAACAAACGTCGACACAGCAAGCAGGTGAACAATCATCAATTTTGGGTATTAACTTCGTAAAATGCAGCCGAGAGGTTAAGGTCTTTCAAGCCTAACCCTCCTCTTGATCCATCTCATCCCGAGACCGTTTACCACCAAACTTCTTGCCCCTGCCTCCCTTCTTCTCATTGTAATCCTTCATATCCATGATCGCCTGCCTTTGCGCCTCCGCGACATTCTCACCAAGCACCATGACCTCGTCCTTAGGGCAGTCATACTCCTTGAGCTTCTTGCCCAGAGCACCTTCGATTCTCAGCCAGACCTCAACATCGTACTGGGCGACAAAGCTGATAGCAAGACCACTCTTTCCGGCACGGGCAGTACGGCCGACACGGTGGACATAGCTGGGAGAGTCTATAGCACATTATAACATTAGCCGAATCCAACAATATTACACCCATAACAAACGATGGGGGGTATACATACCACCCGGCAAATCAAAGTTAAGCACAACATCAACCGACGGAATATCCAAACCACGAGCAGCCACATCCGTCGCGACAAGGATATTCCGACTACGAGCACGGAACTTGCCCAGCGCACCAAGACGAGCCGACTGCGAAAGCTGGCCATGTAGCGGAATAGCGCCGAAGCCAAGCGCACGAAGCAAGAAGGCAAGTCTCTGCGTCTCGTTCACCGTCCTCGTGAAAATAATCGTACTTTGGCCGGCGAACTCGTTCAACAGGTAGACGAGGTACAAGTCCTTGTGCTTCTGGGGAATGAAGAGGTAGGATTGGAGGAGAGTCGAGACGGTCTGGTATTTGCTTGTGGAGACGGAGACACGGAGCGGGTTGGAGAGGGAGGCACGTTGGAGGGATTCGACCTTGGAGCTCATCGTCGCGGAGAAGAGGAATGTGCGGCGCTCGCGGGGCAGGACTTTCAGGATCTTGTCGAGCAGGGGTCCGAAGTCCATGTCTAGAAGTCGATCCGCTTCGTCCATGACTAGGTACTTCAGGTTGCGGAGGGAGAATCCCTTGGTGTTCTCCAGGTGGTCGAGAAGACGACCGGGGGTGGCCACGATGATATGGGGCTTCTTGCCCAGGGAAATCGATTGGGATACCATGTCCATACCTCCGACGATGACGCAGCTTCGTACGCCCAGGCTGGCGCCTAGGGACTCGAAGGATTTGGAGATCTGGTAGGCGAGTTCTCGGGTTGGGGCGAGGATGAGACCGAAGAAGGGCTGGGGCTTTTCCATCAGGGCTGTGCGAGGATGTTAGTTATTTGTTCTAGTTATATTTTATAGCGCCCAAGAAAGGCAATGCTGTGGCTAGAAACTTACCCTGTAGGATGGGAAGAGCAAACGCTGCCGTCTTTCCACTTCCGGTCTCTGCAAGACCGATCAAATCACGGCCTTGAAGAGCCAGAGGAATCGACTCCCGCTGGATAGGCGTGGGCGCTTTGTAGCCCATGGTCTCGCAAGCCTCGCATAGCTGTTCAATGATTCCTAGCTCCTTGAATGTCTTGGTCTGTCCCTCTTCTTGTTCTTGCTCTTGCTCTTGTGCTTCCGGTTCTGGGGATTGCTCTGGGGTGGAAGATTCGACATCGCTCTCTTGTGCGGGCGCAGGCGCAGGTGCAGGTGCCTCACGGGCGACCTTGCGCTTCTTGACTCCAGGCATAATTTTTTGTATGTGTAGAGAATATCTTTATCTGGCAGCAGCGAAAATTCAAAAAAACTTGTCGACATCATTGCGAAAGTAAAATAATGTATAATTTTAGGCGCCGCAAAATCGTTGATCCGGGCTCCTCCGCGGCTTTGCTCCGCTCATACTTTTTCTTCGGGTCAGAAAAAAAGTCACTGCCCTGAGAACATCCCGCCCGGAGCGATTATTATTCCTCCGTTGTTTTCTTTTTCATCTTTTCGCTTTTGTCACCATGGCGAAGGCACGTACTAAGAAGCGCACTCATGTTCGCGCGCAAAATGCTACGGCTGCTGCTGCCAAAGGCGGCACCGCATCTATGAGCAAGACTCCGAAGTCGATGGTTATCCGTGTCGGCGCTTCAGAAGTTGGTTCTAGTGTCAGTCAGTTGGTCAAGGATGTGCGAACGATGATGGAGCCGGATACGGCTGTTAGATTGAAGGTGAGTTTAGAATTGTTTTGTTGACAGGTGGATGAAGACTAATGGTATCGGTTGTTAGGAACGCAAATCAAACAGACTAAGGGATTACACGACTATGACTGGTCCCCTTGGAGTCACACATCTTATGCTTTTCTCCAAGTCGGCATCTGGAAACACGAACATGCGTTTGGCGCTTACGCCCCGTGGTCCGACATTGCACTTCCAGGTCGAAAACTACTCCCTATGCCGTGATGTTGAGAAAGCTTTGAAGCGCCCGAGAGGTGGTGGTCAGGATCACAAGACGCCTCCTTTGTTGGTCATGAACAACTTCAACTCCCCCAACGCCACCGAGGACTCTAAGGTACCTAAACGTCTGGAGAGTCTCTCAACGACCATCTTCCAATCTCTCTTCCCCCCGATCAACCCTCAAGCCACTCCCCTCTCTTCCATTCGCCGTGTGATGCTCTTGAACCGTGAACTCGCCCCCGAGGGTGAGGAAGAAGAACACTATGTGTTGAACCTCCGTCATTACGCCATTACTACGAAGAAGACCGGCGTTTCGAAGCGCATTCGCCGCCTCGATCCTAAGGAGATTCGCAACAGGGAGAAGAAGGGAGCCGCTGTGCCCAATCTGGGTAAGCTGGAGGATGCGGCGGATTATCTGCTGGACCCGTCAGCTGCTGGGTATACCTCGGCCAGTGAGACGGAAATGGACACGGATGCTGAGGTTGAGGTGGCCGAGAGCACCACGAAAAAGGTCCTCTCGAAGCGCGAACTGCAGCGCATGAAGGCTGGAGAGAAGGAGAAGGCACAGAAGAAGCTGAGCAATGCTCCGGGAGTCGAGAAGCGGGCGGTCAAGTTGGTTGAGCTGGGCCCTCGTATGAAGCTCCGCCTGCTCAAGGTTGAAGAAGGTCTTTGCGAAGGTCGCGTGATGTGGCACGATTTCATCAAGAAGTCGGAGGAGGAAGTTACCAAGTTGGACAAGAACTGGGATCAGAAGAAGAAGGAGAAGGAGCAAAGAAAGAAGGAACAAAAGGCGAATATCGAGAAGAAAAAGCAAGCCAAGGCTCAAGCTAAAGCCGAAGGCAAGGAGGTTGAAGATGACGACGAAGATGATGTTGATATGGATGAGGATGATGAATGGCTCAGTGATGACTTCGAAGATGACAATGCGGAGGAGCAGGAGAACGATGATGAGGATGAGGACGAATCGATGGAGGAGTAAACAGGCGCATTTTCATCACCTTGAAACGGACTCTCAATGTCAAGCAGCTCATAGCCCAGCTGCTACATCAACATCCCACGCATTACTTGCTTCTGCCGTTGACCCTGAGAACTGGGCGCATGCATGTGAAGCTATGATAGTGGAGACCAGTTACATTTCAGTGACGAAGCCTGCGATGACAGACGTGACTCTTTCTTCCTTTGCTCGTTGGCATTGGGAGTACTGGTGGCCACGGACGAGAGGGACTGAGTTTTTTAAAAAGTCTCGATCAGAATGTTACGAGCCATGACCGGAAGTCTCTCGTGACGTTCAGCAGGCTGGCCATGACCGATAGAAGTACCAAAATATACCCACAAATCCTGCCTATGATTTTCTATATTCGTACATGGAAGAAACTTTCTCATATCATATCCCTATTTACACGTAGCAAAAATGGCTCGTAAACAACACCCATGATCATACTAGTTCCCTCCCTGCAAACAAAACACGGATCCTCTACCAATACCCACCCATCCACCTACTTCCTCAACTTCTCCTCGACAATCCTCTCCACCATCTTCTCCAACATCTTCATATCCCCACCGGCAGTACCAGCAAAGTACCCCTGCACACTCTTCTCCACATACTTGCCCACAATATCAATCTCCACATTCACATAATCCCCAGGCTTCTTCGCCGCCGTGACAATCTTCTCCTGCGTATACGCAATAAGCATCACCTCAAAGTACCCCTCCTGACCATCCACAACATTCGTCACCGTCAAACTAGCCCCGTCCAGCGTAACATATCCCTTCTCCACGATATACCGCATCACGCCCACATCGCGCGGCTGCATACGGAACACCAGCGCATTGCCCTCCGGTGTCACGGAAAGGATCTTGGCGATGGTATTGACGTGGCCCTGCACGAAGTGGCCGCCCATGCGCGTTTCACCCAGGACGGCGCGTTCGAGATTCACGCGGGAGTTTGTCTGCAGGGAGCCGAGATTCGTGCGGCGGAGGGTTTCGGGGGCGACGCCGACCTTGAACCAGGTCTTGTCGAAGGCGGTTACTGTTAGGCAGGTTCCTGTTTTTATGTAATTTTATTAGTTGAATGGGATTTCTCCTTGGGCTCCTTGGGGGGTGCTCGTGGGGGGTTCGTGGGGGGGTATTGTTTCGCGATTTTGGATGGAGTGGGGGTAGGGGGGAGGGGTAACGATGGAGAGAGAAGGAAGCAGAGGAAAAAGTAGAGATCGAATGCAATGGGAATGATGGTGAGTGTAACAATTGATATCATGCGATGCGATTCATACCATTAACGGCTATACTGTCGCCGAGATGGCAATCTGTGAGAATCTCCTCACAGTCGGAGATGGTCAAGGATGTACCCCCGCCCCCGCTTGAGGAGGTATCGAGAGGCTCGAGGGACGAGACAGCTGCGATAGAGAAAGGCAATTAGTTTTTAATGTTAGGGTATTCATGATCGCAGTGTAAAGAACTCACTCCCGATTTTCTCAACAAGACCGGTGAACATGGTGGAAATGGGTACAAATGTAAAAAGGTAGAGTCGATGCCGTGGTTGCGGGCGGAATCAAGCGGTTGTGAGAAGGAAAGTTGAGCGGAAAGCGGACTTAATGTACTTGACCTCGGCTGCGAAGCTCCGTCGGCGAGGTCCCCGAATGGGAGCCAGCGCTTCTACTTGATCTCCCCTGTAGCTTATTTGGAGAACCTTGCATTGTCGATTATAATTTATCTGCCCACTGTCCTTTTGGCTGAATATTGCTCCAACTATCATTACTTTTATGGTCTATCATATTATTTAACATCGCATCTTTAAGCCAGCATTAGAATCAATCATGAATCTCACGGCCGCATTGAGGGTACAGCGGGCTTGCGTTGCCCGTCGCAGCATCTATCTTCCCCGGCGGACGACGCAATGGCGCAGCTATTCTTCTGCTGTTTCGGATGATACACTTCCCTTGAAAGGTATACGAGTTTTGGATATGACACGAGTTTTGGCTGGTGTGAGTAGTAGGATTGTCGTCTCCAACAGCGTTGGGTTGGAGATGTAACTAACATTGTCCCCGCAGCCATACTGTACCCAGATTTTGGGTGATTTAGGGTATGTTCTTCCACATCTCACAATTACTATCAAGGCAGTGGGGGATCTGACCGGGATGATACCATATAGAGCGGATGTTATTAAAGTCGAACACCCCGTGCGCGGGGATGATACTCGAGCGTGGGGTCCCCCGTACGCCACGTACACGGATGGGTCCGAAGGTCCAGGAGAGAGTGCCTACTATCTTGGAGTATGTTATGCGGTCTGCTACTGCCATACCATCAAGAGCGCAATTGACCATTGTGACTAGGTAAACCGCAACAAGAAATCAATTGGTCTGTCTTTCGCTCATAAGTCCGGTGTTGAGATTCTCCACCGGCTGGCGAAGGAATGTGATGTCCTCGTGGAAAACTACCTTCCTGGTAGCCTTAAGAAATATAATATGGATTATGAGACCCTGCGCTCCATCAATCCTAAACTTATCTACGCCAGCATCACCGGATACGGTCAGACTGGGCCATACAGTAACCGTGCGGGGTACGATGTCATGGTGGAAGCGGAGATGGGTCTGATGCACATCACGGGTAGTAGGGAGGGGGAGCCGGTGAAGGTAGGCGTTGCTGTGACCGATTTGACGACTGGTCTGTACACATCGAATGCCATCATGGCTGCCTTGCTTGCGCGAGCGAGAACTGGTAAGGGACAGCATATCGATGCGTGTCTGAGCGACTGTCAGGTTGCGACCTTGGCGAACATTGCCAGCTCCGCTCTGATCAGTGGTAAGAAGGATTCGGGAAGATGGGGAACCGCACACCGTAAGTGGATTATACCATGTGTTCGAAATCTAGCTACTGACTGTCTGTAGCATCCATTGTGCCTTACCGAAGCTACAAGACGCTCGATGGCGATATTCTTTTCGGAGGCGGGAACGATAGACTGTTCGGTGTGTTGTGCGACCGACTTGGACACCCGGAATGGAAGACGGATCCCCGATTCGTTACCAACAGTGATCGAGTAAAGCATCGTACGGATATTGATGGTTTGATTGAGAAAACTGTGAAGCAAAAGACCACACAAGAGTGGCTTGAGATCTTGGAGGGCAGCGGCATGCCCTATGCCGCGGTCAATGATATTCAGGGAACGTTGAACCACTCCCACGGTATGTTATACATCCAACATAAACCGACTCCGTGATTATACCAATGTGCTGATAATGTATACATAGTCCAAGCACGAGGCATGGTTGCAGAGGTTGACCATCCAGCCTGCGGACCCATCAAATTGGTGAATACACCCATCAAGTATTCCCACGCAACCCCTGGCATCCGGACACCGCCCCCAACCCTGGGACAACATACGGACGAGATATTGGGGGAGGTACTGGAGTATGGCAAGGACGATATTGCTCGGCTGAAGAAGGATGGCGTAGTAGCATAGATTGTATCATACAGTAGCTCTGATCGTCCGACTTATCGTCCGACTTCGCTTGGTCGATTGGTCTAGACTGCGTTGAAGAGCCGGTGGTCCGGAAGGTCACGCATCTGCAGGAATAATCCCTACATGGTTAGTTTTTCGTGCGACTACCGGCTCATCCGCGCTGAAGAGTTCCGGATATCATAGAGAGATAGCTAGAAGAGAATAACCTCAAGCCAGCCATGCATATTGGACAGTGTGCCGCTGGCAGTTACGCAATTAAAGGAGCATTATTGCTTTTGACAATAGAAGGGCGGTTCTGTCAAGGGCGCGGGGGATGGATTCCTCAAGATCACGTGATGGTATATAAATCTGGGTCCGTTCATGATGACTTCTCTTGTCGCACTCCGATAACAGTGAGGACTCAGGTGCAGTGTCCAGAGCAAGTCTACTAAGACGACTGAGCAACTGTGCACATCGACCCGACTTGGGGATATGTCACCGCACAATGGAGCTCCTTCCTCCCAGGCGTCTATAGAAACAGCGCCTTCATCAGCCCACGGAACACTTCATACCACTACCACCACTTCTGGCTCACCCCCTTCTGATTCCTCGCGCAGCGTCAGCATTGGTTCCTCCCTGGGACTGCCTACCTCCTTACCCGGACGGCCGTCGAGCGTACACTCAAAGAGGGTGGAGATCCCCCGGCTCTCTGCAGCTACTACCGAGTTACTGGCGCGGGTCACCGGGAACCTCAAAGGACCACGGCAGAGAAATGATAATGATAGATTTGTTACATGGAACCCATCAACAGTTACTCGGACGTTCGAAAGCCAGAATAGCAACTCCACAATGGGGAAAATGAGGGCCTCTTCTACAATTATTGAATTGCCTACGGCGCCGTTCGTATATTCGAACACTGTGGCGCCACCGGCGGTTCCTCAGCCTGCCTCCCCAGCGCCTCAAGGAACTACAGGAGACATAGTAAAGCCTACAAATCTACCCAACCTCGCCCCAAAACCGCCCAGCACAACACCAATTGACGCAGTATCAAGACATTCAGGGTCTCCAGTCCCGGTCAATGTCGACCTAAAACGCACAAGTTCAACGCCCGTCGATGCAGTATCACGGCAGTCGGCGTCTCCAATTCCAGTCAATATCGCTCCAAAACCAAGCACAACACCTGTTGGTGCGGTTTCAGCACCAACACAATTAACTACACCCATATCAGCAGAACCCACAGCTGAGATCAAAATTGCCCCTAAACCAAATGGGACATTGTCGAATGGTGCAGCACCAGCACCAACACCTTTGCCTACACCACAGGAGCCACAGCCAGCAGCAAAGTCCAAGAGGCCACAAACCGCAGCTGGCTCGCGCCAGCGAAAGGGTGCGGCAAATGGTACCAAGCGCGGCAAGAAGCGCAAACGAAATAATGATAGTGATGGGGAAGATATCATAAGGGCCGGTGACTCCAGTAGCGACGAATCAGATGTTGCACCAACAGCGACGCAAACAAAATCTGGCCGCTTGGTCAACCGGCCTTCGTTATATGTACCTGCACCGTCAGCTCCTGCGGTAGCCAAGGAGGTAAGCAACTCGGCGGACGCGTCTGATTATGCAGCCATCGCACGAAAGCGTAAACGTATCCACCGCCGAGGGAAAGATGCGATCATCACTTGCTTGCATTGTCAGAGGGGTCATAGCCCATTGAGCAATTCGATCGTATTCTGTGACGAGTGCAATGCCGCATGGCATCAGTTGTGTCACGATCCTCCTATTGGCGCAGACGTTGTTGCGGTCAAGGAGAAGGAATGGTTCTGTCGGGAATGCCGGCCTGTCCAAATTTCTGTCATTCAGCCAACAGTTGTGCGGAGCAATCCTGACCTCACATCTGGGCCATTAGTCTCT